GGGGGGGGGGGGGGGGGTTAGACGGAGAAAAGAGGGTGGAAGGTAGGAGGAGAGAAACAGAGAAAGGAGGGCGGAGAGATACTAATATGGTAATAGTAGGCAAGAGAGAGGGGGAGTGAGAGGGAGAAAAGGGAAAGCGAGGCAGAGATTGGAGAGAGAGGAAGGCGAGAGATACTTGTAGAGTAGCAAAGAGAGAAGGGGGGCTACAGGGAGCAAAGAGAGAGACCGCGGCAGAGATAGAAGAGACAGGGAGGGCAAAGACATAACTTCGTAGAGCAAGTAGCGAAGAGAAAGGCGGAGGAGGGGAGGTTCTCGCTCTCCAACAGGGCCGGCCACATTTTTCGTCGCTTGCGCTCTCCTACGGCAAAGGTCTTGAGCATGGCAAAAATCGGCTAGAGAAGAAACATCAGTTGCTGTTCAAAATAGAAGATTGCACGTGTTCTCGGAGTGGCATCGATCTCCAACCATGGATTTGGCTGGTGACCACCCGCCGCCGGTTTCACGCGGGGGAGGGAAAACAGTTCTTGCAATTTCGCGGGCCCTTAAGCCAGGTGGAGGTGGAGGAACCAGACGGGCGGCTCGGCTCACTTTTCGCTTGACGAGCATTCTTTCAAGGTGTCCCAGGCCCCGTTCTTCTTCCCAGCAATTACGCCTACCCACGCCATTGCACACAGAGCCAAGACGGAGAGACAGAGAGGGGGGGGGGGGGGGGAGAGGCAGGACGAAACAGAGACACAACGTCTCGGAGTCAAAAAACAAGTACGAATGGTGTTGCGTCGTAAAAAAGAGAAGAAAAAGCGAGAGCCGGGTATAACAAAAAAACACAAAACCAACAAAGCAGCAGCCAGCCGCAGCAGCAACAGGAGCAGCAACACGGGACCACAACCTCCCGCAAGCGGCGTGCCCACCAACCTGTTGAAATGGCAGAAGGCGGGTGGGCTACCATGCTGCCACACCGTGAACTTGATCGCGTCGCTATCGCAGTCCACCGTAATGCCTCGCAGCTCCTGGGAAAACACAATTGACATCCGGTGTTACTCGACGCCACGTGCTAATTCACACCACACGATACACATCCCCTTGATTCGGCCAAAAACAACGCAAAAAACTGCCTCCCCACAAATGGTAGAAACCACCCGCGAGCTTAAAGGAAAATCATGCATGTGAGCGCCGTACACAAGGGTGCACACGAAGAAATGTATTTTGCACATTTGGGCCATCCAATCAATAGCAATCTTTCGGAGCCATCCAATTAAATTGTAAATCTCGACATTTTCACGCCGTCTGAGGAGTATCCTAGTGAAGCCTCACGTTAATACACGCCACATGCTTGACAGAGAGATCGGAACGGCTTCACCAGGATAAGCTCAGGCTGACGAGAGATCGCGCTACCCACCTTCTTATCGGACCAAAAAATTAAAACGGGAACGCCAAACGCCGTATGTACTTCCAAAACCTGAAAAATAAAATACCCACAACAAAAAATACACACACACAACAGGAACCAAGTAGCATTTTATTGTCCATCCACTGAAACACTCGCGAAACAATTTACATCACATGTTGTATACTCATGCATTGCGTAGATGGGGTACTATCTATCTCCCTGCTCCTAAGTTTACCTGCCACGCCCCGCTTGTGTCGCCCTTGCGCCAGAGCCCACCCCTAGATCGAGACCAGTATACGCCTCGCCCGCTCTCGATGGAGGCGCGAATGCTAGTGGAGTTCGAGTACACCTTTGGGGGGGGGGGGGGTCCCCAAGTTGGGCGTGCGTGAAAAAAAAGAGGGGGGGGGGAGGGGGGCCCTGAACCCCCACCCCCCAAACCTTTCTGAAAAAAAAAATGGTTGTGTGCGCTGGCAGTACCTGTGGGCCATACACCTGCACTAAAAATCCCTCGAAATTTGGGCGTACGCCTGCTACACCCTCTTGGGCGTATCCGAAGGCAGCCTCCGCCGGAAAGAAACAGAACAAGTTAACACCCAATCCATCCAGGAGGCAGTCCCAAAACCCAAAAGGGGGGCC